CCCCAAAACCCCAAAACCCCAAAACCCCAAAACCCCTAACTCTTAAAGGAAAATTCCAAATTAAATTTAACAAAAAATAAACCTTCATGAGAAGCTTTACCATTAATAAGAAAATGAATCGCCTGAGCAGCATTAATACAAGATCAGTGGTCATAATGCTCATGCTGATAGGATCAGCATTTTGAATACCTGAACAATGCTCTAGTAATATTGATTGCAGAGAAAGATACACTTGTAATATGGAAGCATATCAGTGAGAAAGAGACAGCTTTTTGCCACTTCCTTTCCAAGATATCGTTGGGACAGTTATTATGGTCATTCTGATGTCTTTAGTCACAACAGCTGGTATCGGTGGAGGAGAAATAGTTGTCCCAGTTATCAAAATCCTCTTCGGCTTTTCCCAAATGGAGGCATCTCCAATTTCCACATGTTGAATAATGATGGCAGGAATCATCAGATTCATTGTTAACTATAACAAGAAGCATCCTAACAAGGACGCAGTGCCTATCGATTACAGTGCTGCTATGGTCCTCATGCCAGCAATGTTCTTTGGATCAAGCTTAGGTCACATGTTACATGAAATCTTACCTAATCTGATCCAAGAAATCATGCTGTTTCTGGTTCTCCTATTCTGCATTTTCGAAAGCCTCAAGAAGGGAATCTTCATATGGAACAAGGAATCAAAAGAAATCAGAGAAAAGAGGTAAGCTATAGCCATTAACAAATTTAGAGAAATTGAATTAGCAATTCTTAGCAACAAAGGTACAAAAATCTATTCAACATTTTTAAATTTTCAAAAACTGCAAAATGTGACACCCATTTAGATGTTTCCAGAATTCAAAACTCTTTCTATGAGTCCGGTGTAGTAGAAGATTCTTTTGGACAGTCGGACAGCATTTCGAATCTGCCTCAGACTGATGGATTACTTACCCCTCATAATGACAACAGCACTAAGAAAGCTCTCATCGAAGAGGTAAGTAGTTTAGTGACGAACGTATCACTTTTCGAATGTTTCCAAAACCATTAATAATTGGAGATATCTCTCCAAAAACTAACTTTCTGATATAGTACCAACAATATGAGAAGAGTCATTGGCAATTTGCAAAACTTGTACCAATTTGGCTGATATTCACAGCCTTGATTGGCCAATCAATCCTCAGAGATAGCGGGTTACTTGAGATCACTAAATGTGGAACAGCCTATTGGGCAATCTATGCCGGATATGCCCTATGCTGAGGATCAGCCCTGCTTTACTCAATTATTCAGTTCAGAAAAGAAGTTAAGCTTAAGAAAGCTCTATTCGGAACCCAACAGAGAGAAGGAGATGTTGTATATACTAACGAAAAGATTTTCTTCCTTGTTACTATTGCAGTCTGAGTCGGAGCTATTGCAGCTGTTATCGGAATCGGTGGAGGCCTTCTTTTCATCCCAATTCTGCTCATCCTTGGATACTCTCCATTCGTTGCTTCATGAACATCAATGTTCATGGTAATGTATTCAGCAAGTGCGAATGTTATTTCCTACATTATAGCTGGAAAGACCAACATTCCTTATGGATTCTGGTTAGCTTTATGGACATGATTAGGTGTGATCCTAGGAATGACCACTGCGAATAAAATTCTTGCTAAAACAGGGAGGCAATCTATCTTCATTTTCTTGTTCGCCATCATCAATTTCTTATGAATTATTTTCTGAGTGACCTTTAACATTACTCATGTACGACAAGAGATCCAAGAAGGAAAGAACATTATCGAATTTGGAAGTGTCTGCGGATAAATACTACTTTTAATAGACCTAATCTAGCCTTCTCTTTAAAAGGGGTTTTGGGGTTTTGGGGTTTTGGGGG